CGTTTCGGCGGCAATATATTGAGGTTGGTAATCTATATTTCCGTCCTTTGTCTTTTTTGCAAGTATTAATTCTTGCGGGTCGGCAGATATCAAAGTTTTATAGTTAGAACATAACCGTGCGTTCACGTCGGCAACAGCTGTTGAATACATCCAAGGACTGACTTCAAAACCCAAATTAATTTTATTCAAATTTTTATCTTTTACGTTGGCCTTGATCTTACTAATCAACGTGTGTAAATTTACCCTCCCACTTTCAAGCGAACGGTAATATTATTATCGATACCGGGTTGGAGATAATTAACTTTAAATGATTCTCCATGGTATCTATGTTATTTTACAGATAAACCTCACAAAGCTGCGATTGCGCAATCATGAATGTTAATTTTTAATTGTGATTGAATAATTTGGCAATGGAGGCATTTCTATGTGGTCATAAGACGAGATGACGTTAAACAGCACTTCTTGGATGATATTTCACATATGCTTAAAAAAATCTGCGCTCGATTGCTTTTGTGCATAGACGCCAATTATAATAGGCCGCGAGCCGAGGCCCTGAAAAACGCCTAGAAAGTGAGTTTCGTAGCGCACATCAGGTAACTACCTGAAAATGATTTTAAAATGTTCCTTAAAAATTTAGTAACAAATATTGCCTTGTTCCCACTTCCAAAAGTTGCACGTTTTACGGAAAAGACGCTTTTACTACAAGAAATATGTGCTACGATCTGTCCTATATTCTCTACATTGTCGGCACTGAACAATGACTTCTGCATGACGTAACAATTGAATTAAACCAGCTGTTAGCGAGCGGATGAATATTAGTTATTTCTGCTCGACCTTGCGCTGAGTTGGGCAGGCTTTTCCATAGCCCTGTTTAGTTATTATTAGTTAAGTTATGTCAAGACGTTGTTGAAAAATGTATAAGTAAATTATTAAACACTTGTAGATCCTTACCACGGATATGGGCCGTGAGACGAAACCATGAAAACGCCCAGAAAATGAGTTTCGTAGCGCACATCTGGTAACTAAATAAATTCTTCAGTTTTGTGTGAAAACGAACATAATGAACGCATTACAGCTTGTTCCACAATCCTGGTGCGAAATTGAATATAAGAGGTTCCCCGGAAATTCAATAACCATAAGTTTACAACGCATACATAAGAACTATACAATTCGAGAGCCCTACAGCACACTAACACAAATGTATTCCTGTAATGTTTTGCCTGACCAAAATCGGACTTCTCAGTCAATCATAATTTATTAGGTAGATTACGAAAAATATGGCATACATGTAACCAACAACAAAAAATACTTTAATTGTGTGACAGGAGTCGGGAGTGACCTCGAAAGCAGTGACACCAACAACGCTGATTCACATTTGAGAATAAATTTTATGTAATAACCACAAGCAGTTTACAACAAGAACAGCATAAAAAGCTACAATCCATTTTATAGAAGCTATCAAGTATCAAACGTATTTATTTTTAAGCAATGAAGTCACAAATTAACATCGTGAGCACGAAAACACAAATAAATCAGTTATTTCTCACTTAGAAAATTTACCGCAAAAGTCAAGAACATTAAATGAATGTACAATATGTACATAACATAGTGAACAGAAATATTACAATTTACAATTAATCTTTTTTAGTTTATGTGGTTATGTATTTGAACAAAGGCAATAATATTTCTAGAAACAGGACTACGAACAACTAAACAAATGTCCCGAAAAAAAAAAACAAATGTATGATACTTATTAAATCAACTGTAATATCTAATTCACTTTCTTCTGAATTGTTTTCGAAATCCACTATCTCAAAATCGACTTTCCTCTATCAGGTGTACTGTGATTTCTGCAGTCAATACAAAAAACAAAAATCCGTTTTAAACAATTTAAGTTGATTTTGGCACACTTTCATAAATTATTTTGACTATTTTTCTTTGCAGTTTGCCAACTCAAGAACTGATTTGAGGGCCACATGCTTCTTCAGTGAATCATTGTTGGGTGGAGAGTATAATCCTTATGTTTGACAGTTTAAATAGACGTGCCCTGGTATCATTTACATTCTTCATATCCTCTTCAAATTCCTCAGCTTTATTTATTAATACCTCGTTAACCTCAAAAGATCTTCATAGTCGAGGGAAAAAAATGAATTGAAAATCTCAATGAAGTCTCCAACATGAATTTGATGGGCAGTTCCAATTGCAGAAAAGTGCTAAAGTATTTCAATATGAATAGCCCATCTAAGCTGTTTGCAACTATTATGATTCTCATATACCTTTAAGCTTCAAGACTTCTTGTTTAATCCATTTTATAGCACTGATAGCAGCAGGGATCAGAGCCTGCGTTAGGTCGGATTGGTGGAACATTGCCGTTTTCTTTTGTAGTACAGTATCTAAAATAAGGAAGAAAATAATATTTGGAGCAGCATGATTTAAAAATACCCCTAAATACTAACTAATACCTTGAATACATAATGCATTTTATCTGATGTACTAAATGAGCGTATATATGCTCATTGCATGTTCTACAGTCCAGCAGTGTTTGCATACCATTACTAGACTATATCTACACTAAATTTTGATATATCACAGTCTGAAATGTCCTATGACAGTATGAGTATGGACTATAGACTATATTTTGAAACATCAACTGTTTGTCTACAACTTGATTTCTCACCTCTCAATCGTTTCCAATGCTACCTTTCTTTCCACTCCGGCATAACTTATCATTGCTTCCCAGGTTCTTGTCGACTCTATGAATTTAGATTTAGACCAACCGACATTAGTAAAATTGATTAATTTCTTCTCTTTCACACAACCGTGCATTACAGAAACAGCCATTCATTTCTATTTCCAAATATGCTGTGGCCTATATAGTAGTAGTATAAGTCTGCTGAATAGTCAAGAAGAGTCATTAAATTAATCATAAACATTTCATGCAAGCCAGAAAATATCGTTGTTTGTGACATATTATTCTAGGTCTAGCCTTCCTTGGAGTTACCGCACCGTACTACCTATTTAACAACGTCTTATGAGCTAGTGCTCAACTAAAATTGCTATTTATGGAAGGATATACAAGTGTTTAATATCTTACCTATACTTTTCAACACCTCCTTAGAATAACTGACTAATATTACCGGTAACTGAAAAAAACTATGGAAAGGCTACTCAACGCAAAAGCTAGCAGTTGAGTACATCTGATATTCATCCGACCACTGGGGATCCACCTACAGCTGACTAACTTGACTGTTACGTCGTGCAGAAGTCTGCGTTCATTGGCCCATGATACCGGAAAAGCAGAGAAAATAGGACAGATGGTAACACATATTTATTGTAGTAAAAGCGTCTTTTCTGTAAAACGTGCAACTTTTGGAAGTGGGAACAAGGCAATATTTGTTACTAAATTTCTAAGGAACTTTTTAAAATCATTTTCAGGTAGTTACCTGATGTGCGCTACGAAACTGAAAGATAAATGGCCTCGGCTCGCGGCCTATAACTAATTCCTTTAAAGTTTCAACGTTTTTTTTTTCAACAAAACAATACCCCGGTGATCATTATAGCTAAAATCGTTACCGGGTAATTCACAAATTTATTTACGGTATTTGCAATATCACCACTTCATTTGAAGATTTTGATAATGTCACGCCCTAATTATTAGTGCAAAAATGCTCAAAATATAACGATTGTAATCATTTCCGATTTCAACGATAACAGGCGCAACAATTCGTAAACGGGTCAGTGTGCGTTGTTACATCGAAATTCACGATTGATTTTTACTATCGACTCTTGGTTACGGTTTGAACACTCCACCCGCCATGCATGGTCGAGTAAAATGTTCACATTATTAAAACATCACTTAGCCAAAGACGGAAGGGATCATGAACGAGCTAGTAGAAAGTTTAAAAGTATGGTCTGTCATTTCTTTTCTGGTTACAGCTTATAAGCGTTATATATACGCTGTACTATGGTCTCTCGAACACGTTAATTCAACTTCTAATTTTCGATAATCAATCTTATGTTCAGGTTCATGCATGAAACGGCTTATCATGCTGCCAGGCATATGGAGTTTAAAATCTGGAAAATTTATGTTAAATACCTAATCTGGTTTGACGTTTCTAAATTTAGAGAATGGTGTCGGCGTGTAATTTTTCAAAATAGGGAATTGAAATGATACGTTATGCGCAAAATGGAAGCAAATAACACAATGACGCGGAGACAACGATTTCTCAAATTTGTCGATTTTGTCTGTTAGCGAGTGATGTAGGCGAATTCTCGCGCAATCCACGAACGATTTTGAGACGCGCGAGTTCCTTGTCCAAGCAAAGCGGCGCAGGTCACGTGACACCGGATATTCGAATAGTGAAATGTCATTCGAATAATTTAATATTCGATTCGCTATTCGTTATTCGAATCTTTTGCCCAGCCTTAGCTCCAGGCCAGGATAGAGAAATCAAGAACTCAGATGACTGGGTGAAATCATATAAATATATTCGTAAATTTATTGAGAAATATGGTGAATCGTATATGTCTCTGATAATTTCGTCCATTTCAAACATTTTGAACTAATGATAGTAAAAAGGCGCGACCGACATACGTCGGTAACTTATACTGCATTAGCATATTGAAAATCTGAAAAACACTTTAAGTCAAAATATTTAGATGGGCATACGAAGGTGATCCTAAATTACCAAATGTAATGATGATAGCGTCGCAAATTCATGAGACAAACCCGGTCACAAACAACAATGCCACAGTATCCTCCTAGTAGCTGAAGCGATAAACTGGATTATGTATATTGGCATCACAGGTTACCATGTTCGCCAACTTACCCAAGATGTAATAAATTGGGTAAGCCATGACGAACCGTAAAGATGCCGGTCTTTCCAAAAATAAGTAGCTCATAGCATATCAGGTGATATCAGATGATGTTCTACATTGCCTTGTTCGGAACGAATAACGTAAATACGCGTCACAAAACAGCAATTTCTATAACCAAGGTCATGGTCTCTTTTTCTGTTCTAGATGGTGAATATAAATTTGCTGTACTCTGTCGAGTATGCGGTGACAATGCTTCGGGTGTGCATTACGGAGTAGATGCGTGCGAAGGGTGCAAGGTAAAATAATTGGAATAACTGTAGCCGATAGCATAAAATATGATTTTATTAAAAATTTTAAATTTTTTTCCTTCCCGTTTTGAAATTTGTGGAAGAATGGAAAAGTCGCTAATAACGCGTGCGATTGCATTTTGTTAAAATCATCGATTGTTTTCGTCGGCGTAACGTGTTATTCAGGCCGTAAACTTGCATTTTTATTTCCATGTGCTGTATTTTACAGGGATTCTTCCGGCGAACCACGGGACAGAATCTGAAATATCCAGTATGCAAATTAGGAGATAATTGTGAAATAAACAGAGAGTCTAGAAACAGGTGTCAGTCATGTAGATATGAGGCATGCGTAAAAGTCGGAATGTCTCGAAAAGGTTGGACGAGTCCTTATATGTTTGCTTTTTTTTTATCTACAAATAATATATTCAAGACAAAAAATTAATTATATTGTTATCTCTTGTTTAGCTGTCAAGTATGGAAGAATACCAAATAGAGAGAAGGTTAAAATTTTGACACGGAGATATTCAGCGTGGAGGTATTAATGTATTTGCTGACAGAGAATATTGTTCGCGGCTTAGATAATCTAAATTTCATAATATCAAACGTATAGGAGATAATTTCATATTCTATACTCGCACAATTGAAAACGACGTAATGTTTATCGCATGTGAAGAAAATGGCATAATATGGAACAATTTTCTCCAGAATTTATACGACTTGGAAATGCTATCCTAACCCCGGAAAATTTTTTTCAAATTTTGTCTCATTCGTTAGGCAATTTATTCTCAATATAACTACTCGGTGTAATTTCAGATTTATGGTATTCATAAGTAAAAATTTAACGTTCAGAAGCTATGCACGATCGGATGATAATGCTATTGGGAGTGTTTACCGTAAAAGCGAAAAGTTAGTAAAGCAGACAACTGACGCCCGCAGACACTCTAATGTATTGATAAACCCAGCCAAGAAACCAGAAAGTAATCATTTACCAACTGCAAAATATTTGATACAAAGTCGTATCGAAAATGAGAGAAGCGGCCAGTCAGTAACAAAGAGGAACTATTCGCACTTGCTAAGTGTTGGTGATGGCGTTCTCAACGTTTCCAGGCACAGTGAGAATTCAGTAACACGACAGAAATTTGTATATTCTGCCTGTAAACCAAATGAACCTCATTGGAGCCCAATATCCGTCGTTGAAAATCAAAAATCCACATCTGAAAAAATAAGGCAGCCGAACTTCATCGAAGCCTTGCAATATGATTCAAGGGAAATGGACCATGGGCATATCCAATCGTCGACTTTGAACAAAGAAGATAAATACTTTTCGTTTGATAAATTTCCCAAACGACTGGAAGGAAATGCAAAAAGCAATTTCTTGCCTGCCTCAAATTCGTCTTACATACCATACAACCAGAAGAAGCGTTTGTGGTCAGCATCATCCCACGACAGTTCTTGCTCCTCACGGATTGAGAGCGAATTTTCAAGCGAAGACAATAAATATCAATGCAGTAACACATTGGCGAGCATGGACAACGTAGTAAACACAAATTTAAACAATCAGGTAATTTAAATTACTCAATTTTCAATTTATAACACTACAGCTATTTATTTGTATCACATATATCCAAGAACGAAAACAAGCTATCAAAATTAAGCTTATGTAATATTACAATTATACTAATCTGTTTAGAAAACGCACTTTTATAAAATAAGTGCTGGCCTGATAATCACGATAAATATCGTTTCATTGTCATTCCCAGTATGACCTACATAATGAGGTAAGCCTAACAACCTGCATGAGCGCATTATTTCATTTTAGCATAGAGCGCGGTTGTAAGAAGTATTCGCTTTTGGTTGCTTCCTATTCCATATTTTAAGAAAAAGCATATCACGTTATATTATATCTATCAGATCTCACTAAACTCCTAAATATTGCATTACCGAAACTAGTAACATTTGAACAAAGCCTATTGTAATTTTATCGATTGCTTTCACCCGCGCTGCGTTCAGATTGCATTGAAACAGTTTATTGTTATATTCTATATATTTCATTCTTAACATAAGTTTAATACAAGCTGTACAGTATAATCACCGAAACAGTAGAAAGCAACAAGCTTCCGGAAACCAAATACTGAAAACTTTCATTTCTACCATTATAATATATTGTAGCATTCGGAGAGCAAGCAAAGCCCCTGTGTATATGATGATATTGCAAATACACTTTGTCTCGGTTTTCAAGCCACTTTTTTTCTGGCCAAGCGAGGATTTTTTCTAAGCGCAGACATCAGGGGAAAGAGACACAGTCAACTCGAGGTAAAGAATAATAACATACCTAACTAATACACAGCTTTATGTTAAAATGACAACACACATGGATGCGTGTTGTTTGATATGATCTACTGTTTTGACTACGATTTTTCAGAAGAGATCCGATGCATTGAACAATAAAACTATCGGTGGACTAATAACGACGCGCCCAATACCGCTAAGTAGTATTTTACAAAAAATAAAATGATATCATTTTTCAATATTAAACTAGTGCAATATACCGAAAGTTATAATATTGTACTTAATTTCATACGAAACTGGCAGAAAGCAACATATAACGTTACAATTCAAAACACCTCCACATTCAACATGGCGATTTGTGAAGTCGTTGAATTCGCGAAAAAAATACCTGGATTTACCAATATGTTGAAGGTTGTGGATCAAATTCATCTCCTAAAAAGTGGAGTACTCGAGGTAATTGCCAAAACAAATGGTATGGGCAAAATTAAATAATCCTGATATTGACTTCTCATAAACTATTCTATATCGAATCTTGATCCTTCGATTTTCGCTCAAAGTAAGGTCACAGATGAAATAGACTAAATTCATTTAATCACAAATTCGCTGATTATTACTAGAAAGTTTGGTAATTTGTGCAAAATTATCAAATCGATCATCAAGTTAATCTTTTAATATGTTTCCTTTTTTTCTATCCCCATGCACCGTTCAAATCAGCATATCTTTTTCTCTGGCCGGACTATCACATATGTAACTATAATTGATTTATCTATATAAATAGAAAAATTTTAACTTCATTTACAGGTCATGCTCATCGTTATGTTATCTGGTTACAACCCGGTCAACCAAACATTTCTATTTCCAGATGGAAAACGGAATGGTTTATCTGAATTAGTTTCCAATGGTATGTTCATTTTCTATTACTATATTGACAAATATGATATACGAGTTGGTTATACTATACAAATGCACAATCATGCAATTGAACAGTTAACGTGACATATATTTTGACTTAGATATGGGAGAATTCGTCAAATGTACATTCGATTTTGCTGAACAATTTACTTCTCTTGGTCTTAGCCCAGAAGAAGTCGCTATATTCACAGCCTTGGTACTGATATCCTGCGGTGAGTAGTACAAATCAGTATTTTGTCCGGTTTGGTGTGAACTTGCACACAGATATGACCGAATTCAACAAAAAATATTATTTCAATCTCAGGCGCGTTAGCCATATTACAAGAATTATATAAATCATTACTGGTGGTTTAGATTCAGTCTTGACGCAGACCTATGGCATAAATGTTATATTGACATAATCGTCACAAAATTAATTTCGCATTTTATTCTTGTAGCGAGGTAATTTGAATTAAAATAGAAATGCAAGTCCTATTTACAATAGTACAGTATCATAAAAGTTTTAGTTCATACGAATAAGTGGATTTTTCAACTCATTACATTTGCATTTAGATCGACCTGGTATTGTCGACAGTAAATCTGTTCGCAAACTCGAAGATAAACTGCTGCATGTGCTGCATCGAAGCATGACCGCTTCGAGAGGAATTTGGGATAATACTTATGCTAAATTATTGATGAAATTAGCGGGATTACGAACACTAGGTTTTTTATCTCACCACCAACTCAGAGACTACTGTAACGCCGAAACAACTGACCATGTTGCTGTTTCTAAGTAAACACAGCAATCTTCCCTTGGTATCTAACGCAATAATGCTATCAAACGGGTTTCTGCGGGATAAACTATTCATCCCACTTATATGCTTTTGGATATGTAATTCAAGGATAACGTAGCACGAGTAAAGTGTCTTTTGGTGGTTCCTGTTAGGTGGATACTGCAACAAAAGTGAAGGCAATTACGGTATTTAATGGATACAACAGTCATACTATGGTTGATTCGCATTTCGAGGATGATGTAGCAAAAGTAAAGTCAACTCTCAAAGGTAATTCAATACTCTTGCTTGTGGATCCGCAATGAAAGGATGATATAACAAGAGTGAAGACAGTTATTTTAAGTAATTTAATAGTCCTATTGGTGGATTCATAGTGCGAGGATCTTGTGCCAAGAGTTGAGTCAACTATTCGGTGTGATTATTCAAGAATCTTGCCGGTGGATCTATTATGAAAGTATGATCTGGCGAGAGCGAAAACAATTATTCTAAGTCATTAAAAAGTTTTGCCGAAGGATCCATAATGCAACAAGAGAGCTATGCTCAAATATATGGACACGTCACAAGGTGTCGCTATTTTTTATTCTGACACATAAAAAAACAAATCTCTCGAAGTCCGCAGAAATTTTATAAATAAGTAAAAGTAATAGGCTTCTGGCAAAAAAATCAATCTTTAACCACTGAAAATATCAAAGCAATTGGTCCAGTATTCGAAGAGAAAAGCGATTCCATCATGGCGAAGGAGAAGAATAATAACATGAACAACAACACAAGAGAGCTATGCTCAAATATATATGAAATTCCGAGTTTCGCGTAGAAGTAATTTAAAGAATCAAACCGGACAACCAGTGTTTCCATGGATAAAATGATACAGCAAAATTTTGGACAAAATATCAGATTTCATGCGAAATTTAGAAATAAATAAAAGTAATAGCCTTGTGGAAAAAAAATCAATCTTAACTCACTGAAAAATTCAAAGCAATTGATCCAGTAATCAAAGAGAAAAGCGATTTCTTCAAAACGTGTCAAAGAACAACAAGAACAACAAGACGATCGTTATGTCCACTACGTGTTCAATAATATTGAAACGATCGTTATGTACACCTACGTGTCCAATAATACTGTAGCAAGTGTGAGTGAAGACGGCAATCAAGAATATTGTCGATGAATTGACAAACAATAATCCAATGTAGCTACAGTGAAGAATATTACTTTACGTGAATCCAGAAAATTTCAGTTCAGTGAAACTGATCCAATAGTTAAAGAGAAAAGCGAGTATTCCACAACAACAACAAGAATACCAAGATGAAGAATACTGACAACAGTATATTAGCAAAACGGTCCATAGGTCCGCTACATGTCTAATGAAAACATTAATTTGATAGCGATGAAATTGAACTACACGAGGGGCAAACTATCCGCCTAACAATTGTTGGTTAGGTAACGCCCGCGGAATTTCCCGGAAAAGGGCTATTAGTTATCAAATTAGGTAAGCTTAGACGTAAATGGCAAATACTGAAGACATTGGGAATTTTCACAATTCAACTAGGCCACAGGTAGGAACTGACAAGAGCAAACCGCATGATGCTGCCACGACCAAACTAGAACTAAATTTTGATGTTTTAGCTAAAAAATAGTTTAAGGAATTTGTTGAGATTGCGATTAAATTTAGTTTTGGCACTTTTTATGTCACACTTACATGGCCCGCCAGTCCAGGTGGGCAAAATTTTTGGCCCCTGGTGTGACAGCCTTTTCCCCCTCTGGGTAAGAACAATAAACAATTTAAATCCTTATCTGTATTTACATTCATCATCTGCTTATGCAGAAGGAATTGGACTCCTGACAATCTGATATCATTTGTTAACCCAGATCATGTCTCGTGATTTTGATCACAGATAGGAAGGAAGGAATTTGGCAAAAAATGTTCTTATTACATAAAACCACTGGGGACCGACCTCATATCATGGTAGGTTGAAAATTGCAGTCCTAAATTTGGTTTCAATTTATTATTGTTTTATGATTTTTTATTTAATAAATATATAATAATTCAAATACAGTAGCCTATATATCTATGAATAGTTGATTAAACTAATTTAATTGATTAGTACTACAATACATCAACATCATTGAGAAATATATAAGTTGTTCAGTCTAAATCACAAAATAGGTCATTTTATGAATAATATTGTTGAAAGGTTAACACAAAATATAGAGCAAAAGATTCGCGGGCTAAATCATATTATTTAGTTTAATGTTTCATTAACAATGAATTCAGTAATTTTCGTTCACGTGAACAGCTTACCCTTTTTCGGGTGGCTAATGGCTGCAACTAGGTTATTTGTAATAAATACACAATTACACAACTGGTTAAATTTAGAACAATGGTTTTTTGAATTTGAGTATTCAAAGACCACGAGGAAAGATTCCCCAATGCTTCATCCTTCATATCATTATTAATGATGAACATTGGCACAATAAAAATATCCTATGACAACAAATTAAAAGTGTCCTAAAATAATATTTATTATAAGATTCGAATACAGGCCGAGATTAGAATATAAAAGTAAGCATGGAATCGCAATTGAAATTTTGCCATTGATCAGATTAATGCAATAACCACACCCGAAATAAATTTTTATCCAAGACAAAATGACACGGGATAATAATCGACTTTCAGACACAAAAAAATGTTATCACATGAATATCCTAACACGATAACATAACTGTTTGTTTATGCTGAAGTTTACCAAAACCGTACATGACATTTTAATATCGAGAAAAAAGGTTGTACAATACCGCATGCGAAAACACAAAATTCCTGGAACCAAATAGCTTGAACTGAAGGTAACCTCATTATCCCTTTCAGTCACGCACAACCAATTCAGGAAAAAAATATTTTTTATTACAAATTGATTAGGTTATTACAAATTAGGTGTACACTTTGTGTCAAAGCTGAAAAAAAAGTAAATGTCACCAAAAATTGTAAAATATCAAAGAATGAAAATTCTCAAAAAAAACATCAAGTTAACTAGCAATCTTCTAAAATTGTCTTTTGTTACACAAAAATTGTGAAATCGACCAAAATGAATGATATCTTGATTAAAAAATCAAGTTTTTAAAGCACAGATCTGTTAAGATATTTTTCAAATTGTGTGGTTTTAAAAGTTCACTTGCTATGAAAGCTCAAAGAGCAATTCTTCTCTTTTGTGAGGCACAGGAAGACGTTATACTTATTCCATGATGCGTGATCTTGGAGTTCCATTTGCTCGTTCAATATCGCGATATTCTAGCCATGAGTTCGCGAGCGCAAAATCCATAAAGTGGAAAATTACTCGAACTGACCACTTCTTTGTTACTTTTCAATCACGATCGGTAAGTAAGTTGATAGGTATTTGTCTGTTAGACACTTTCGTATGTTACGCGATATCTCACGAGGATGAATCTGCTCCAAATTTTGCATGTGCATTCATCATATCTCGGACCAGAAGCCTTTTGAAAGTTGGGGATCCCCTAACTTTCATCGTAGCGAACGATCGATAAGTCAGCGGTCGCCGATCACTATTTAATTTTAGCTTTGGTCCTGTACAGCGAAATGAGGAAATCTAGTTTATCAATTCCTCCCATATCATCGTTGTACACCTAAACACATTTTGGCCCTTCTATAGCATGTGTTCTTTTGTGCTTTCTCTCCACCGTCGTACATGATCTTTTTCGTCAACGCCAGCGAAGCTTGAAGCAAGTGTCACAGCGCCATTATCCATCCAACGGACTACACAAATATCACCTTTGTTGGATACTTTGTAATCGATTGCACCTCTTCCTTTCTTCTTGAGCTCTTTTTCAGAATTTAGTTCGCCCCCCATCAGTCGATTGCTTTTAACAATTTCAAGTGAATGAATGCCTCTTGATTTTAATTCTCTTATGAGTGGCATTCCGGTGAAATAATCATCAAAATAAATTTTGTAGTTCTTTAGTTTCAGTATGGTATCCACTGAGCGTAGATCCACGGGTGCACCAAGACCAATTTGCTTAGTTTCTCTTGGAATTCTTGTGCCGAAACCTTGATAAATTTCGAAATCGACATTTACCCCAAATATCAAAATTCCTGAAACCAACGGGATTGGGTTTACCTTTGACAAATTGTTTAGCAGGTACTCTATCAGTGAAAAGAATCATTTGCTCATCAACCGCATTGACTTCTTCACGAGGCAACTAGATGCAACGATTGCAAACTGCATTAATCACTGGCTGCACTTTCCAAATTTACAATTTTCTACAGTAGGAGGTTGTCTAGCCGCATTTACGTGTAGAAGTAGCTATTAATCACGGGCATGGATTCCGCAATCCTGTCAACACGGTTCACTTTTTGCCAGTAGCCTACATCCGAGTTCGTGGAAAACCCAATTTAGCCATCACAATCGACGCCCCAAAAAAGCGACCCATTTCGACCGAATTGGTTCCTAATATTCTGCCCTAGTGCCTTTTGCTTGCTAGTGATAAATATTTGCAAAAAGTTGAAATAGTTCTGGTTGAAAGTATTCAAAGAAGTATTTTGCAGGTGTATCTAGACTCTAGAGCAGGGTGGTCCAAACCCGGGCCCGCAGGCCACATATTGTCTTCATTATCTGTATCCCGCCTCTTCATTATCTGCGGCCCGCGTCGCATTCGGTGAGTAGTGGGAAAATGCATTTCATGTTGTTTTGTCATAAAATTAACCAGAAAAATCTTTTGACATATTGTTAAATCACTACTGTCACTAAATATTAATGTTATGGCCTAACAATATATTTAATGCAGGGTATTTTCTGACACCAGACTGAACAGTATTACAAAAAATGCTGCCTATATGTCAGAAAATTTAGTACCGTGCCTAATTACCCCTCTATACCTAAAATTTGATAATCAATCAATCTGCAGTTATTTTGTAAACATGAGTTTGAAAAAAAAAGCTGACGAATTCAAACAGATTTTTAACTGGATGTGGGAGGAAAAATACCACAATACTTGCTTGATATGTAGGCAAGTTGTGTCGGTGACAAAAGAATCCAATTTCAAACGTCATTTAAGAATCTTGTGAGCAATGAGCATTTTCTAAAGTTAAGATTTTGCTTTGAAATTCTTATTGATGTTTGAATGCACTTACATTTGCGGAAACATTTTTTCCGTTTTGATGAGTTTGCAATATTACAGTATGTGTAGATATATAAAGACTTTAAAGAATTAATTTATAAAGACTTTAAATATATAAAAAGTTTTATGTGTTTTTTGGTGGTTTATGAATGGGTTAGCTTGACAGATGACAGATCAATGTGTTGGCACAATAAAAGTGTTTGTTTTGTATTGTACTATTTACTTATTCTTGGCAGTGTTGTGGCCCGCGAACAAAGCAAAAACAATTCTGTGGCCCGCGGAACCGACAGCCTTGGACCACCCTGCTCTAGTCTAGAGGATCTACAGCAATTGATTTTTCTTGCCAGGCCAGAAATCCAGGCCGAAATGGATTTCTATCTGGCGAATGCCACACTATTTTGATCTTTTGCTTCTGTTGCTTATTACTGTTTACACTGTAAACGTTACAGCATCAGCTGGCTCCTCACTTTCTTCCTCGCCTTCATTGCTAGTCGCAACTACCAGGCTATTATTGATACTGCAGAAATTTGGATCCTCGTATCCAGAAAGGTCAATGCCACCCTCATCTAGTCGATTCAACACCTCTTCTGCATTCAATATCTCCTGCCTCACATCAACAAAGAAGATATTTCATTGCCAGGGTTGTTATAACACTTGCTACCTTACAGCCTGGCAAAACATTTTAGCTTCAGTTCTATAAAAGTATAACTTGAAAAATTTCTCTATTGCCATATACGCTTATCTCCCAGTAACTGTTCTATAAAACCCTCAGCTGCACGGCAGTA